AAAAGAATCATGTGTGAATATTTGTCTTGTGAAATATGAAAAGAATCATGTGTGAATATTTGTCTTGTGAAATATGAAAAGAATCATGTGTGAATATTTGTCTTGTGAAATATGAAAAGAATCATATGTGAATATTTGTCTTGTGGCTATTAAGAAGAATCATGTGTTAATATTTGTCTTGTGACATATGAAAATAATCATGTGTGAATATTTGTTTTGTGACTCATAAAAAGAATGATGTGTCAATATTTGTCTTGTGGATTATGAAAAGAATCATGTGTGGATATTTGGCTTGTGTCTTGTAAACAGAATCATGTGTGAATATTTGTATTGTGACTCATGAAAAGAATCATGTGTCAATATTTGTCTTGTGGCTTATGAAAAGAATCATGTGTGGATATTTGTCTTGTGACTTATGAAAAGAATCACGTGTAAATATTTGTCTTGTGGCTTGTGAAAAGAACTGTATTTCATTGTTTGTCTTGTGACTTGTGAAAAGAATCATGTGTGAATATTTGTCTTGTGACTTGTGAAAAGAATCATGTGTGAATATTTGTCTTGTGACTTATGAAAAGAATCATGTGTGAATATTTGTCTTGTGACTTGTAAACAGAATCATTTGTAGTTGTTTGTATTATGACTTGTGACACAATCACATGTCAGTATTTGTCTTTTGGTTTATGAACAGAATCATATGTCAGTATCGTTTGATTTGTGAATGTAATCAAATAACGTGTCAGCGTTTGTCTTGTGTCACGTGACTCTAGTAGGTATGAATGTGCGCTTAACGTTTCCAACCACAAGAACATTTTGTTCCATTATATGAATTAATTTTGATTATATCATTAGATTTGTCTACTTAAGAAAACTTTTTTTGCTTTTTCAGACAATGAAGACAACTGCAAGGTAAGAAATAAACAGCAATTATGGGATGTGCAGGATCAGCGATCCGTTACCCAAATTCAAGAGCTGTGCAGAAGTTTGAGACAATGTCTGCCATCGAAAGAAGTACGTTTTACTTATGTATTTCTTTCCTATGTATGTTGAAGTCAAGTATAATAAAATTGTAGCGCGTAAAGTCAGTGTTCTGTAACCGTAGAACGTAATGGAAAACCAGCATTCTAAAATTGTAGGATGAAATGGGAGGTTTGTTTTCATTACAGTTATAATATTTTTGAAATTCATGAAGCTGAGGTTCATCTAGGTTCTTTTAACTTTAATGATAAAATAGTTTCTCTTAAACTCAATAAATTCATATTTAAAAATAAATAAAATCAGAAGAATCATTTAAGATTTGTTCCAGACATAAATAATCCATGAATAAAACAGTCACATTTTAGAGCAACAGGTCTTCCACCACAGACACTTTACCAACTTACAACCACTGCGGTGGAAGACCTGTTGCTTTAGTTGTAGTTTTTTCACGCTTTACCAACTTAGCACCACTGTGGTGGAAGACTGTTGCTCTATTTTAGCTTTGTCACACTTTACAAAGTTAGCACCACAGTGGTGAAAGACCTATTGCTCTATTTTTAGCTTTGTCACACTTTACCTACTTAGCGCCACTGTGGTGGAAGACCTGTTGCTCTATTTTTACCTTTGTCACACTTTACCAAGTTAGTGCCGTTGTAGGATAAGAAACCCCACCAGGTGTTTTAGTATATCCGGATGAACTCAAACTCTCGTTCTTGATGAAAGAGTTTCTTTGTTGCTTTTAAGGACTTCTTGTTGTACTGAGAATTTCATTTCTATTGTGAAAGATATTTATCCATACATGAAATTTACTGCAGAAAACCCTTTGAAAATATCAATATTCTAAATCTTTTAGGTAACAGATAGGATGAAGCATCTGTTTATCAGAAATAATTTGACCTGTCTGCACGTACTGTGAAACGCTATCACGATTGTTATTACACATTAGAAGAAAACACTATCAAAGCGGTTAGTAAACTTATCAAAAACACCTTTACCCTAATAGTACAACATATTAATATTAACTTCGATCAGAGCAAGCTATGTTCTAATAGCAAAACTAAAAATCAACCTGGCTAATTAAATACACCATTATAACTATAACTATTACCTCTTAATTAAATGCAGGGAAAAAGGTAATTTTTTCTTTTACTAGTGTATCTGTACACACACAGGCTTAAGTGTGTATGATGTTTTTATCTCATTTACTAAGTTGTTGACTTTGTCGTATTATTAATGCACGTTGCGAGGAATCGTATCGTTCTTATTTAATTCTTGACAATTAATGTAAGCGTGTAATTGCTAGCATGACGTTAATGTGAGTGTGTAGTTGCTAAAGTGATATTAATGTATATTTTTACGACAGCGGGAGTCACGTGACTCTGGTAATACGTCATGAATTTCTAGAAGGATCATGACTTTTCTTGGCAACTCTAGTCTTTTCCAGGCACCCTCTATTTTAATATATAAGCCCGGCAAATAAAGCGAAGATAATAGCAGATTGAAGAGAGATATAGAGAGAGATAATTGAGTCAAGTGAGCGGTAGTGACCGTAAGTAAAGTGCGTGAATCGTTGTGAATTATAGCGTCTGTTTAAGTTAAAATGACTGTGGAAATTATGTGTATTGCAAAGTTGTATTGAGAAAGAATAAACTAGTTTTATTTAAGAAAGGACTTGTATCGCTGAAGTTCTTCGGAAAGAATTTTTACGGGATGTTAACAAACGAACAGAGACGTAACAATATGTATAGCTTCTAAGACCACGTTATTGTAAATTTATCGCTGCTAATATGACGTTATTCTAAATTTATCGCTGCTAATATGACGTTATTCTAAATATATAGCTGCTAACAATGCGTTGATGTAAATGTATAGTTGTTAACATGACATTGATGTACATGTGTAGCTGTTATTATGGCGTTGATGTATGTGTGTAGTTACTAACATGACGTTAACGTGAATGTATAACTACTAACATGACTTTATTGTAAATATATAGCTGTTAACATGGCGTTAATTTAAATATACAGCTGTTAACTTGACGTTCACGTAAATACATAGCTGCTAATATTAATGTGTAACTTCTATATTAGTTTTCCTGCAAATAAAACATAATGTTATTGATAATACCCAAAATATAAAATATAGTGGATGTAAGTATAACCTAAAAATATGAAATGTATTGGCTTTAATAATAGATAATATACCAATATAGAATATACATTATATTTAACGATGTTCAATGTGATGATCCCTCAGATAGTCTAACCTATTTTTAAAGTGTCGTAGTTTTTTTTAGAAACAGATAAACAATAGTGAACGTGGAGTAGAATGTCGTTTAGAGCGAGAGTTCACGTGCGGGAAAACATTGAACGGAAGTATATTATGTTCCATTAGAGGCAACAGGGATTAAGAATAATATCGACGGATAGTTAACGAAACAAAGAGTCACGTACGGGGTTATTTCATCGCTAATTCTTTCATATAAATAATATGAGTGTAAATCTGGAACATCTGCAACTAGATGTAGTTAACTATTGATTATTACCCATGATTCAACATGATGCTGTTTAAAGATGTGATTCTGCTATATAATGTTTATGTATACAATTTTGTTAAGTACTTCAACTAAATATAATTGGATTACTCTGATTTTTAGCAGATTAACAGTCTTTTAGTCAGCGTCTGTTTTTACTCACGTAAAGACTACAACCTTGACCTTTGAAGCTTGAACTCTGATATCGAATGTTATCGGATTCTTCTAATGTGATTCGGCGAGATTACGACGACTCTTTCCCTATCAGAAATAAACCCTCTCGCTATTGAAATTGTTACGTATAGTGAATCGTTGACAGTTGTGGAAAGTTTAAATTAAATATTTGATTACGTATATAATATAGCTGGACAACAAATAATTAACCATGAATGTGATGAAGAAAAGTTGGTATTAATACACACACAAAGTTTTGTTCTGATCGACCTGTTCTGTAAGTTTCTGATGTTATGCTGAAACGTCTGTAATTACACTCCAACATGAATTGTACTATTTAGAGAAGCGACGTTTCAACCATCCTAAAGTAACCACGTTAGACTTACTGTAAACTCGAATCAAACCGCGAAGCTATGTCCTCTTTCATAACAAACTTGTTTCAACAATTCCTCAAACCATAGGTGTTACTCTGTGATTAACCATTGTTATCTCAGCAGCCACATGTCCTTACTTATGCAGTTCTCAGTATAAAAATAACATAAGTAATTGCATAACAAGCATAATGATTAAAAAAAAAGTATGAATAAGAGTAGAACTAGCATAATTAACAATAAAACTAGCCTACTAATTATAAAATTAGCGTCAGTAAGTGTAGATCAAGCATAATTAATATTGTTACGTCTCTGGTCGTTAGTTAATTTTCCGTTATAATTTATTTTCTGGTGAAACTTTAAGTCGACACAAGTACCTTTCCTTTAAATAAAACTAGGTTTATTCTTTCTTGAATA